TTGTGTGCCCGTTTTTGGCTCTGCACAAATATTTGAGAGAGCAGCGGGTCGCGTTTTGCAGCAGCTGAAAATATAACGTATACGCAACATTAGCATGCATACCTGTCTATTTGTGTAGAGTGTGTCGGTGTGTGTGGTTGAGTGTGAGTGTGTGTTTGGAACGCTTAATGCTTGACAGCGTGCATGACTTTGATATAGGCAAACTTTTGGCCCATTACAATAAATGCAAATGCTAAGCAAACAGGCAGCACTTACTGCAAGAGTTGCCATCTAAACAACCAACCATCTAACCGAATCAACGGACTGGCAAGCCATAAAAATACACACAGGCGCAGACATAAAATTTATTTATTCAGCTTGCCAAGAACTCCACAGATAATAATTTCATTTACGCATTCCCACGAACCCAAGCCGAAACCAAGATGCCATAAAAATCAACAGAGTTGGCAAGAGCGATAAGTCTGCCATTATTCCATTGCCAGGTGAACAGGTGAGCAGGCGAACAAATCCCGGCTAGCAAGATGATGAGACGTGCCATTAAATTAGCTACAGCAAGTAGAAATAAAATCACATCAGGCACACACACGCATCAATTCAACTTTAACTACATACAAAGTAATGCCACAGCAATGGCTGTTCTGCACAAAGAAAATAATATGTATGTCATAAATTTACGTGTTTAGGCTTTGAATAAATTATCTCACATTAATTAACATACTCTTTTCATTTAAAACGCTTTGTAATTTGAGGAATTATAATAGCAAATATTAAATGCAATTTTTTAATGTTTTACAGTGTAGTTATAGTTTCTAATAAGTAAAGTCTTGAGATTGCATTTCTTTTGGCTAAAAGTAAAAGGCATTGGTTTTTAAAAATAGTGCATTTTGTATTTGATATTTTAATCTAATTTTGTAAACGAATTTATTTCGGTAAACATAGCCCACTCGCATATCTCCAATCATTAAAATTTATTTTAATTTTTACTAACGCAGACTGATTTAATATAACCCAAGTAATAATGTAGCCTAATCGCGAAAATAAATAAACATTTTTCACTCTGTATCCCAAACCTCCGATATTTATTTACTTTTTTATCACTGCCGCTTCAGCCATTTTCAGATTTTCCTCTTACATTTATGCATAATGCCCACCCAATTGCCTTTGGAGTGGGCTCTGTTTTATATCCATACATACACAGTATCATAATCATCTATTAGCAAGGCAAATCAGAGGACGATGGCCAACTAAAATCGCTCCACTCATGGAGCCATGCGGCAGGACACACAATTAAGTGCAGCATCATTTCCGTTACATATAAATACACTTTTCAGGTTCAATTGCGCCTGTTGGCCATGACTTGGCCGGCATGGGCATCGAAATCGGTTGTGTGGATATGGCTGTATGGCAATGGCTATATGGCTATGTGGCATCGATATCGGCATCTTCCGCACGGCAGTCAACAGTCAACGAGCGCAATTTAAACTTGTTACGTGCCTTCAGCATCGTCATGTTCGGCGTAATGAAATGTGGAGCACACACAGATATACTGTACTGACTCCCCTCCAGATATCCCGATATCTGCAGCAGTCAGACACGGCAGCATTTTTCTGCCTGATTTGAGGATGCCGTCGTCTCTGGGCATCGAAGCGTGCCCTTCTATTACTATCCCATATCCGAGGATACAGTCGAGTCATGCCTAGTCCTCATCCTCATCCTCATCCACATCCTCACATGCTTATCTCAAGCTGGAAATTATGAATCCAGCATTCATTGCCAAGAAATTGGTTTGTCTTTCACCGTCATCGGAGATGATTAGCATTGTTTTCAGTTACGACTCGAGCGGGACATTACATTTTAGATTGCTCCCCTAAGAGCTTAAAGATAAAATATTATATTTCATAAGCAGTGTTGGGAACTTATTTTTTGGATATATGTAAGGTACAAGGTATTTGCGAAATAAGTTCTTAGGTAAGGTAGCAGATACACCAATTTTCAACTATCTATAATTAATATTAAAAACTAAAGACTTTGAGGTCAATAATTTCTTCTCGAACTTGCAGTTCAATTATGATTTTTGGTCTTAGTTCTGGCAGTTAAGTCTGGTTGTACAAAAAAGTAAAAACAACGTGTGTGCGGTGAAAAAAACTTGTCCTCAAGGTGCAGTAGAATTTTAATGTTTTGGATTTAATTTAGTGGTAATTTAATTAAGTGGTATTAAGGTAGTTTGAAAACAAAAAATAAATACCTTAACACCTAACAAAGCATATTGATAAATAAAAATGTTCACAACAAATTGTACCTAGGTACACCCCAACAGTAGTTCTATGTTAATGTTTAACGTGGGCAAACAAATAAAGTGCTTTTTTCCATTTAACGATTGAAACTTTTCCCTTCCTTTGTTTAAAAATTCCGATATGAATGCCAATAAATAACCAATTGAAGGCAAAGTGTGCTGAAAAAATAGCAAACCATATAATGGAATTTTTAAACTCAATTGTGCAGTGCACTATGCAATGGGGAGTCCGCTCATGAGCCCGTTCATTCATCAGCCCAATCAATCTGTTGGCGGATGGCTGGCAGAAGCAACCAATTTCGAAATAAACTATGCAAAGACACCTTGCTGAGGCCGCGGCACTGGTTTGCCGTCCATAAGTTAGTCCAATAAATTCCATTCGCCTTCCGCCTAGGCACCCTTTTGATGATAAATTAAACCTTGCGTCTACCGCTCGAATTTATTATGCGCCAAAACGCCAAATGGCTGTCAGGAATCTCTCTCACTTGCGTTTCCACGGTGGCGAAACCTTTTAAACTTTAAGTCCGCATCAATGCATCATCGGTGAAAGCCTTGCCAAAGTAACAAACTTTGCTTTGCTCTGCTCTGCTCTGCCGCGCTTTTCTCATTCGCGATTTTTTCCCACTTTCCCTCCAAGCCGCATTGCCATAAATTGTGAAACTGGCTTTCGCCAGGGGAACTAGGATCTGGCCTTTCTTCGCCTGCAATCCTTTGCGGCTTGTTTATGCGCTTCACACGCCTGTCTTTACCTGGCAAATCCTTCGTCCTGGCCTCCTGAATCCTGAGTCCTGAGTCCTGGCCTCCCGGCATATTGGTTATTAATGTTTATGGCCGTGTGCTGTCATCGTTTGATCTGTGCCAGTTATGTGGCCAATGCAATTTACAATTTCATTTTGTGGTTATTACAATAACTCATAAAGAGGGACAGGCAGACTTAAAGTTCACAATTAAAAAAATGGGAAACATAACTAGTTGTTGGAAATTTGGCTACTTTTTTATTTGTGAGGGATACGTTTCTATCTATGTTACTCTTTAAATGTTATTTTTATTGTCTTATTTTGTTCTTTATTTTTTATTTATTAGATAAAGTTTCTAGTTATAAATTCCTTTAATCTATAATAGTTTTAGAATTTCTTTTTTCACTTCTTTTTTTTAATTTATAAGATACACTTTACACTATGTTACATTATCTCAAACAAATACAAAATCAATTTATTTAAATATTCATGGTTATAAAATAAAGTTTTTTTGTATATTTATATATATATATATTTTTTTTTTAAGGAGATAAAATTATGCCTTAAGTTATTGTTATTGCAGCTTACTAGTTTCCAATATACTTTTGCCCAGTGCAGAGGTATCACTTTTATTTGGACTCCAATGGCTTACTTTCGATTTAGGCAGATTTGATATTGCTCTATTTGCATGACGTGCTTTATTGCTTTTATATTGGCTCATATTTCGTGTTTTATGGAACAAGGTGTTTTGTGGGCCAATGGAATGCCCTGCTGGAGAAGGGAAAGGACACAGGTTGTAAATTGCGACAAGTTGCCAACGGGGCCTTAAATTTCAATATGTCATCGAGTGACCGACACGACCACGCCCCCCTGCCATTGCCCCCATGTGCGGGTGTGTAGAGCCGAAAATTTATGGCGTAATTGAAACCGGAAACTGCAACGTTTTGTGGTGAATTTTAATAAAGTTTCGCCTTTGTCCGTAGTTATTTATTGACAAATAGCAGATAATTTGATTTTGTGGCAATATTTAAAAACAATGCGACGCAAACGATGCAAAGGGTCACAGTTCATCGAAATGGGGGTGCAGATTTAGGACCCCAGGCAATTTAAGCGACTCATGTTCAGATTTTTCGCCATAATTTTATAGTTTTAGCATTTTTTCAGTCAAGGCTGACGCTGTAATTGGATAAAATGTCAACGTTTTTGGGTTGGGAAATAGAGAAATATGTGATAAAATTTAAATGCATTTTCAACGGCACACTTTTCACACTTTTTGCAATCATCTGCGGTCAGCGATGGAAATGGAAATTTAATTAACGACAATTAAAACCTATCAATTTTATTAAACAATTTTATTAAACTTAACTTTAGACTAATGAATTTTAGGAAATGTATAGAAAAAACTAATTAAGTAACCATTTCCTTTTTTTATTCAAATACATAACAATTAAAAAGGACAAACTAAACGTCTTTAAAGACACAAGTGTTTTTAGCATTCATTAAACAATAATTTTACGTTAATTTTATTTCTTTTCACAAGACTTTGATAAATGACAACTAATCAAAGCCTTAGCCAACAGATAGGAAACCCACTGATTAGACATGAGCTTTTGTAACAATCTAGGTTCCAGCAACCATTCCCTGAGGAATGCAAAATTGTGGGGATTCAGTGATGAGTATGATGGGGATTTTATAGCCCGAAATTGTCAACTACAAACGCACAGAATTCACGCAAAAGTTTGACCCCAGGGCAATAAAAGAAAAAGGCTCCGGCTAGATGGGAATGTGTTGTGTGTTCTGTCTGGGGGCCAGATAAGCCCTACTCTCTCCATAAAAGCCAATTAAATAGCAAACAAGAAGAAGGAAGACACCCAATAGCAACACTAAGAACTCAAACCTTACACAGAAGATAACATGCTCAATTTTCAACTTGCCATAATATACATTATGTTTTACAGTATTTAAGCCAGTTTATATTTCAACGGTTTATTTTATTTAGCATTTTTTTATTGCTAATTTAATATAATTGATAACTTTAAGTCGTATTAGTAGAACTCTTAGTGTGATAGTTATGGGTTTGACACTATGATATCAACTTCCAGCGCATTTGGTAATATCCAATCGATTGCAAAGGCCATGACATCTGTATAAATATTGGCGTCGGAATTATTATGGCTTAAAATTCCTTTTTGAAAAAAAATTTCCTCTGTAATTGTTGTGTTGGGGCTACCAATGAGCCCAAAAGGTGATTCGTCGGTGTTTGGGCTAGAGCACCAATAGAGACAAAGCCACCATCGTTTTTTTTCAGACTCTTGAATTTTTGGATGGCTTATCCGAAAAGTAGATTGATACAATTTTTTTTGCGCATTTACCTCAATGCATATCGGTTGTATATGGGGCTTATATACAACATCCTCTTGCAATCTAAGTAGACCTATATTATTCTGATGATTTTTTTGGAAATAGGACCTGTGTATAATGGCCCCCCTCACTTTTATATCTTCATATATGTAATTGTGATTGCTATTCTTTTTATATCCATCGAACTCTCCCAAGCGAACGATACTGTTAAAGTAAGATTAAAATATTGTTATTATAACGAGATGATGTGCTACTATGACTTACAGTTTGCCTTGGTTGTATATGCAGCTAGCAGCCGTCAAAACAAATCCTAAAAAACAAAAGCACTTTATTTAATAGGATGAACAATAATTTCTATTTTGAGAACTAACGTTCGTTTATAAGGCTGCCAGCGCAAAAAAATTCGGAATATGTTTCAGTTCGAATTTTAGCCAGCCAAGGAGAGGAGAATAAGGGATTTTGAAGTCGGCCACAATTTTGCTCCAAGGTAACAAATGATCCATATGATATCCCAAGTATTAGCAGAATGCAAAAAGCTACGTTCCGTGCAGTGGTCATCATTCCAAACGTAGAGACACTGTTCAACTGATTTCAACTCAAATACATTATGAAAGAGCGAACCTTATCAGAGATTAATTTTAAAAGTGAATCACCATCAAAACAAAAACTGTGAAGCGATTCAGATTTGTTTCGAGAGCTTAAGAATCTCCCTTATCGGCATCGGCTGTCTTATAAAGCTTGAATAACAGTTGCAGATAAGACTATCAGCTTTATATGGTCCCACAAATTTCGGATGGACAATGTAGGTATTACCCATTATAATTATTTTTTTAAACCAAAAAATATTAGATTTAGCTATCCGTTTTTAAACTATCAATACAAGCGTCACCGAAAATATAAGTATATATTCTAATCTGTTCAAAGATCATATACAAATGTGTGCGACGTGCCGAAAATAAATACCAAACAAATTTGTATTTTTGGTTGTTTTTTCTTTAAAGAATTACTCTATTTAAAATGTATATCCACTTACAACCGTTGTTCTAACCTAAAATTACTTGTTTTCCTTAATATATAAAATTAAATTTAGAAAGTGCTTTAGATGAGTTCAGACTAATAAAATTATTTGCGCCAAATAATCTATGAAGCTCTTAATATTTTAAACATGCTCCTATTACAGTCTAGATTAATAAAAAAAAGCACACCTATATTTTGTATTGTGTATTCGACGAGCTCTGAGCATTATCAGAACTGTTAAGCTTATTTGAATACAAAAATTTAATTGGAAGCCAGCTTGAAATCAGTTCGACTGAGTCTTTTGATTTGGAATGATGCCATCCGCACGATGGATAGCTCTATGCACCTTGCTGCTGTTCCAAAATGGGTTAGCTATATTTTTGGAACAGAATTGTGGCAAAGTTTTCTCCAACCGAACATCAGGAAGTCGCGAACCTTGGCTGGCTAAAATTCTTACTAAAAAGGAACGCAAATTCATCTGCAGTGGCACGCTTATAAACAGACGTAAGTATCTGAAATATAGTTTGATTATTATAACTTATTAACAGTATTCTTCTTCTTAGATTACGTACTGACAACTGCGACTTGCTTAGAAAATCAACTAGAGCTGTAAGTCATTCTTACATAGTTAATTTTTAAAAAAAATAAGCATTAAACACTTGATTTCTTTCAACAGCAACGTGTGCCTGGGAAATTGCGACGCAAATGTTGATGGAGAAACCGAAGTTACGACTCGCATCACCCACAAATCATATTCGGCAAACAGCCATGTAAACGATATAGGTTTAATCAACTTGGTACCGGACGTTGAGTACAAGGCAAATATAAAACCGATATGCATTTTGTTGCATCCCGAACAGATTTGGCCTAAATCAAACTTCGATAGCACTTTATGGTCTGGCATTGAATATAAGCCAAATTTTGTAAACTCTACCTGTTCTGGCCCACCATGCAAAGCTATTGGTAAGGCCTTAAGCATACCAAATGATAATGGACTCTTCGTACTTCAAGGAATCCTAAGTTTTCGAGACCACAGAACTAATGCTTACGTTTATACCAATGTTTTCGCCTTTAGCGAGTGGTTGGTAGCAAATGTTCTAGATGTTGATATATTTTTAAGCTAACCGGCAGGAAATGAAACCATTAAAATTGATCGCTAAAAACGTTTTTAATCTTTTTTTGCCTTGTCTGTGCCGTAAAACAATTCAATAGTTTAACTTCAAGATACAGTTGAGGTGTATTTTCTATAGAGGAGTAGGAGTAATGTAACAAAGAGAGAGAAAATCGAAATATAATTATTATAATATTATTTGGTAAACACACATTTTCTCAACACTGTAAATAAGAATATTTAATGAGCTTGATGACTCAAAAGGCCTGCAATTTTTTATATAAAAAGTTTTGTTAATTGAATAATACATATTTATTGGTATATAAAAGATACATTCCTTGCTTCAATTAATAATTAAATCTGTCTTGGAGAATTCCATTGGTTCGTTCGGAATTCGGTATTGCTTCAACTTCCAATACTTGTGCTACAATCCAATCGGCATAGGCGAAAACATTGGTATACACATCAGCATATGTTTCACGATCTCTATAGCTCAGAACTCCGTGTTGTGTATAGCGCAGTAGGGGTCCAGTAGTGATTGTTTTGTTCCAGGGACTCCCAATGAGAATAGAGGCCAAGTATTCCTCTTTTTTTTCGTCAGCACAAGAACTACCAAAAAATGCACCTATTCCGCACCAAAAGTCTTTTTTGTACTTCTCGTTTGGTATTTCAAAGGTGAGCGAATCAGTTTTGAGTTCGGAATTTTCCACTATGCATATTGGTTTTATATGGCGTTTATATTGCACCGACGATGGCATCTTAAGCACACCTATATTATGCCTTTTTGTGTCTGCCGAATATGACTTGTGAATGATGGCCTTTGTTACGTAGTATTCCTCATAGGTTTGGTCAGATGTACCATCATCTTCAAAATTGCTTTTCGATCCGTCAAACTTGCCCAAGCGAACGATGCTGTTAAAAAACAAGACAGATGTACATTTTTCGTGTTATCGTAAAAAAGTTTTTTTTTTGTCATAACTTACAGTTGGTTTTGGTTAGCTATGCAACTCGCGGCTGTCAAGACATATTCTAAAAAAATATTTGATACTAAAGAAGTCCGAAGGTATAAATTCTTTATATATACATACGTTCGTTAATAAGGGTGCCAGCGCAGATTATTTTAGATTTCGTTCGAATTTGAGCCAGCCAAGGAGTGGTAAGAGGCCTCTTAAGCCCGACATAGGGATTAAAAATGCCACATTGCTCCTCTAGAAATTGAGCCGATCCCTGGTTAATCAGCAAAAGTGTGCACAAAGCTAGCCATAGCACACTCATCTTTCCAAGCGAAAAATCAATAAAGAACTGATCTGAAAGTCGCGCGCTGAGTTTGATTTCCATCTTCTGTAGAGAACTAAGGTTATCAGCCCCTTTATTTACGAGTTCAGATCAAGCTGTGTTTCGGAATTCCCAAGTTTTCTGTGTTGTCATATGTTTTCTATGTGCAGCATGGCAATTCAAGAATCAGAATCAGCTCAAAGACAAAGTCAACGCAATGAATTATCACTTTAATTTCAATTTCAGTCTGGGCCCAGCATATGTGTCGTCCGCTTTATATCCCCCACCCTCCCTCTATATCTTTCTCTCCTTGTTTTTCTCAGTCCGTCTCTGTTTCTCCGGCGAACCACCTGCCAGAAAGCATTGGCCATAATTCTAAAGTCAGAGACGGATCATAAATTTGAAACTTTTCTGCCAAACGGCAGCGGAAGAAACAACAACAAGCGTTCGAGATGAGCGACATAAGATGAATCCATGGGAACCATTGACGGTCAATGACGAAAGCATCAAACGCAAAAACCGATTGCCATCATATTGAAAATATTGAGTTCAACACTGGAGAAGGTTGAGAGTTGACAATGACAAATCCCAAATGCTCTGTTTGAATTTATGGTTTGAAAACAGCAAGTTTAAAAACAAGATTATTTAGAAATTTTAAATGGTGTCATTTATGCCTAAAATGTAAATAAGGAGAAAATTCAATTTCTCACAAATTCAGTTATAATTTGTTATCAATTTTTCAGACTGTCGTTTACAAGAAGTTAATACATATAAAAATAATCTTTTAGCTTCACAAAGGTTAACATTATACAAGCGCAAATTTCTGAAAACGATAAGAGATATTGCAAGCGTACATTAAAACACACACACTAGGAATTTCTATAAGAAATGCATGGAACTGTCAAACCAAACACCATTTATTAATGCATAAAAATACTTATTATTTTTGAACTTTTGCGTTATATTTATAAAATTTTGTGAAACATGTATCACTGAGGAATGATGAGTAAAATAGTTTGGAATCTTGATTTTCTAATTGTCCATGATGATTTCTCAGGAACAAGGACCTTCGTTTCAAAAGGGTATGCCAGAAGAGCGGTTGTCAGCAAAAGAATAACAACGACAGGCAAAGCAACTGCAAATTACACTTAAATGGAACACAGAGAGCAATTGGGAAAATGGGAAAATCCAGGGCGGAAAGCGACCAGAGCAAAAGGTAAACGACAAGAATACGATTGGAAAACGATTTTCATTTCTGCAGCTAATATGAGCGACAAATCTAACTGAAGTGGGGTGAAGTGGGCGTGGCTATTACATATACACACACACTCACAAACACACACACCATACTCCCAAACACACCATGCAAAGGGACAATTTCGAAATCAATATTTATGACTGCCCCAGCAGATTTATTGCAACTAGCGAAGAGGGTTTTGAATTTTGCCTCGTTCTAGTTGAATACTTTTCTCTATTTTTATGTTTTACTTTTTTCCTCATTGCTTCTTCTGTTGCTTTTTGCCGAGCTCACAAAATAATAATATGCCGTGTTTGATTTTCGTATGCAAACGCATATCTATTTATTGTCTGTGTGTATTTGTGCATTGCTTCGTTTACTGCACTGACACTGCAGCATTTGATGATTTATGCATTTTAACAAAATGTCAGCAAATGGACGTATATAAAGGAGCTGCAATTCTTTTCATTCGTATATTTTTCGTTCGTTCTCCAGCAAAGTGATCAAAGAAATTCCAGTTGCCGAAGCATTTTGATGCTATACTACTGCAATTGCAACTACATTCAATTAACACACATACACGCAGTACGCCTTCAGCGAACCTTTCTGCTGAAGCATCAGTGCACAGAAAGAAATTAACTTTCACTTCATTAAATAATTATAATATTTCTAAACGATCTTTTCTTTCAGTTTTAAAACAAATCAGTTGGTGGGAAAATATAATATTACAACTAGCTTTGATTAACTAATCCCAAAAGAGTGAAAAATCTTAATTTGGTAGAATTATTAAATTTATTAATTAATTAAATTAATTTTTCCAGATCCTAAACATCAATGTTGGCGTGAAATAAAAAATATATATTTATTCACCAAATATCATTATTTCCTATTGTGTAGTTGTGTAATTCCATTTGTTGGTCTCGGGTTTTGTTGTTGCTGCCAGCCAAGCACAACTTCAATTGAATTATGAATTTCAAATCTCAAATCTACTACTTCGGCTGCAACGGCAACAATAAGAAATGCATAAGCAAACAGTAATTGCTACCTAACCAAAGTGAGGGAAAGGCCTCAAAGCGCTTTTGTTTGTTCACTCCATCGTCCGTTTGGTTTGGTTTTTGGTTTGGTTTAGTTTGGTTCTGGCCCAACAGACGTTGAAATGTAAAACTACCCACCTACCGCTCGGTCAGCCTAATGTCCATCAAGGTTTTAAGCTGTTTGTCAGCCACAAACACACTGACGGCCAGACAAACACACGGACGCAGGGATTTAGGCTCATAAAAAGGTCTAAACATTGCATCGATTCATCAAAGGGGAAGATTGCAACGAAGCAGACTTCACTCCGACATCTGTCATCGGCAGAAGGCAGAGGGGTGTGGCATGGGGACTGAGGCTGGGGACTGGGAATGGGCAAGGGGCCCCTGATCAACATAGTCGATTTCAATTAGGAAATCTGAACTCAGATTTTGGCCGGACTTTGAATGGTTTCTGTCTGCATTTCAGGGTGGCCCACTATATGAAATGAAATATATGCAGTGTTAATCCATATGCCTCCATTTTTAAATTAAGTTTTATAAGTGCTCAACACAAGTCTAAGTGCAAGTAAATTAAATTTCATTTATACAGAAAAATTGATTGTTCAATAAAAATGTCACTGCCATTCTGTTAACATTAAATCTAAAATATATTGCAAAGTCTTTGTTAAATTTTACTTTTATTGGTTAGGAAATTAATAACACATGTTTATAAACGGCATCAATATATTTATTTATTAATGTTTTTAAAAAGGCATTTCTAAAGGATTTATATTGGTCTTAAATTGATAAATAATTAACTCTTACAATTTACAATTCACCAAAAAAGTTTCACCCTATTCAACACTACACGTTGCTTTCGTGTGTGTCAGAGATTCTGATTACGCTTCTGTTTTTGTTTAATTTCGAGTATAATATTTGATATGATTGCTACTTTCCGATTTCGATATATACTGTACAAACACAAAACCATATTAATTTGATGGCTCTACATACAATGGACGTAGAACATACGGAGTTGCCATGGAGATGAGTAGGGGAGTGTAAGCTCAGCCTCTTGATGCTGCAGTTGTGTTCAGAGCCTGTGAGTTCTGACCCGGCCTAATGAGCCGCATTTAATGAGCCGCAAACACGATAAACATGCAACAGAAACAGCGGCAGTTTGATGTACGGCATCCTGGCCCCCATAAACCCATCCAAGGTAAAAACATACTGGAGCATACACTAACATCCGTATTTGACTCGCGGCGCTTTTATCAAGTTTCGCGAACAACCGCACAAACACACACACGTGAAATAGGCGAGGACCTCGCTCAGGATTCGACATTTCATTAAGAGGACACAGCCTGGAACAGAAAACGCCAGAGGCCTTTCCTGGTAGTTAACGCTAACAATGTGGCTTGATGTGGCTAACTTTGAATGTTTGTCGACGGAGAAGAGACATGAAACGTGTACAAAGCGCCCACAGTTGAAGTTTAAAGTGGAGTGGAAGGGCATTTACTATAATTCGTGATTGAAAGTTATAAGGTTTCCGGCACAAAATGCAGGTAAATACGGTAAAGGCTTATCCCCTTTAAAGGGTGAGTTGTGCATAAATATAAGTTTTGAGACTTTTAATGTTGTTAGAAAATTTATTTGGCTTACTTATTTAATTAAATGGATAGATTGCATACTGCTGAAAACATAAATGAAACAAATTAGATTGAAATAGATTTGAAGACAACTATTGAAATTATGGAAATTCAAATAAATGTTAGTATTATTACTTTTAAACGACATACCAATATGTAATAAGATTTGTGAATGAAAGTTATTAAGTATCCGGCAGAAAATGCTATTAAATACGGTAAGCTAAGAAACAACTATTAGATTTGAAATGAGTTTTGAAAGTCTTTTAATTTTGTAAAAAATGTATTTAAATTAATAAAAGGTACCGAAAATCTTAAGAGTACTTTACTTTACCACAAATGAAATTAAATATTATAGATTAGACAACATAATTTCAATAATAGATTTTGAAAGTATGCAAAATCATACAATATTACTACTAGCCTGGTTTATAATTCTAAAACGACCATCCTTAACATACTTTTTATATCAAAAGTTTACATTCGTGGAAGCACTTCCATTATGTAAAGACCCTTTTGAGGAGAACTTTTTAATTTTTGCCACAATCAGCTTATGCATTTAACTATGCTCAATTAGGGCACCTAATCAGGATTCCAGAACCCTGTGGTGAAGGTCAAAGGCAACTTTCAGTCCGGTTGTGCGAGAAACCCTCAAGTGAAGAGTCAAAAGCGCAGCTCTCTGTGAAGAAGTATGGCACGAATAATTGTTTTATTGCCCACACAGCCAAATATTTGTGCCTAATTGGGTGCCAATTAGGCACTGCCGGCCACCACTTTGTGTAGATCCTCTTCACAACACCCTAAACACCCTAAACACCCTAAACACCCTAACCACCCTACCAACCCTTCATCCCCCAGTTCTGAGAGCATTTTGTTTAAACTTTTTATTTTACGGAAAAGTTTGGCGTCGACCAAAGCGAAGACAAACGAGGGACGAAAAGCGAAAACTTAATTAAACTGTCAATTGGTTTCTAATGAATGAATGCAAAGATGAATGAGTAATGAAGCTAATTATGCCCGGCAAATACGTCAAAGTAGCCATAACCCACTCGTACACACACACACATACATTAAAATATACAAAGGATCGGCGGGGTGAATGTTGTGTATTTTATGTGCTGGTATTATAATTAAT